GGACCAGAAAAGCAGCAGTGAGGAGTTGAAGACAAGCTCCAGCTGGGTCTCCAGGGGACAACCCAGGCTGCTAGAATATCAGTTCCCTGTTCTGACACTTCTTCAATCCCAATCTAGCTAAAATCCCTTTCCTGAATCCAGACTTAAACTAGATGTAAAGTAGATCATGGAACAGTAAGGATTTGATCTCCAAGGTATAAGGAGAAAATGGGAAAACAGAGGAGGGGTTAAACAAATGCAAGCAATCTTAACAGGAAGAGTAGAGAAGGTCCTAAAGCCATCTGGTTGGGTGGGTTAATTCCCAGGGGCCCAAACTTTTAGAAGAGCTAAGTTCAACCGAAGGTAATTGTGCTGCTCTGTACAGCCCCCCAACACCATACTCTCAAATCTTAATCCTAAATGTGATCAGTGAAGTTCTACCATTTTTCCCACTTACAAGGCTTTGCTCCTGTCACCCTAACCCCCTCAATCCCTGGTCAACATTTAATAATAGTCAATACACCTTCCTTCCCAATTGCTTTGTACTGGGTTCCCTTAGCCACCTACTCAGACCTAGTCAAAGTTCTTGCCAACATAATGAAGCTATCTTTATCAGGAAGTCATTCTAGATTAAGGAACATATTTTTCCTCTCATTCTACCCCTATAGATCAAGAAGATTCTTGAGAGAAAAAAGCAGGACTCTATAACAGCCATGACTTCTAGCCCCTATCCTACTCTTTAAGTTAGGATATGCTCAGACACAGGAAGAGAATTCATGGATAGCCAAGGCTTAAACCAAGATTCCTACTAAAGTAATACCCAGAGTCGCTTTGGCTGCTTAGCAAAGTCAAAAAGGCTCCTCACATCCTCCGACTTCACCATCCTTAGCAAGTTGGCGCTGATTTTCAATCCTGCCTGTAGCTGCAAACTGGCTTCCACAGTTGCATACATGCTATTTTCATGTGGCAGTGCCCCATCTGGGAACCAAGTGGTTTAAGTAAGAAACTGTTTTATTGTTCTCTTTTATGGGTCTCAATTTCTTTGTACAGAGGGAAATCTTTATAAAATGCTCAGAATATTGCTTTTTAGCTTTCATTGGCTTCTGCCCAACCTTAGAACAGTACTGGCAAAACAAATCTAAGCCTTTATGGATTAACCCACTGGCACAAGCACACATCTGCCAAAACAAAATTAGAGTGCTTTAGTAAGAAGGGAACTAGTTATTGAACAGACAGCCAACCATGTCTTCCACACATCATCAAAAAAAGATTTTGAGAAATGTGACATTGGATAACTGGGTTTCTTTGATCCCTTCTCCTGCTCTCCCTCCTCCTACATTTAAGTAATATTAAAATGTGTCATAGTTTGAATAACAAGTCCCTCTGTCCTTTCCTAATACTGTCTAGTCCCTTAGTAAAGAATTATTTCTCTTTAAGAAACTGTAGAGAAATAAATCAGAATAAAGAAATAGCTGAGTTCCTGAAGTGCTGTATCAACCATATCATACTTCCTTATTTGTTTGCCATTTCAGCTCTGCTTAATTTAATTCTGGTTTGCTCAGTTGCTTCAATGGATAGTTGATGCTGTAAATTTAGTTCCCCAGCCTCTCAATCTGTCAAGAAGCATTCTATTCAACATTTATTGAGGGCCTCCTGTCTCTAAACATTCGAGAACAGTTGTATAGGTAAAACAATCATGGAAAATTATAGAAAGAAATACTTAATAATATAAATACATCTATAATAGGGTTTGATTTTCAGCAATGGCATTTTCTCAAAGCAAGGCATGTAAGTCTTTCAAGCTACGGATCTTTAAATAATGGCTATGATTATCAATTTAATACCTCCTTTTCTTCTTTTTTTATTTCTCCTTTAACAATGACTCTATTTATCTAAATCTATCTATTTATTCCTCATTTTTCAAGCTTAAGCTAACAGATGGAGAGATAGATTACACTGAAACATCTGCACTGAAACGCTTTACCTGTAACTCCTGCTGCGAGGAAAACTGATTTTAATTATGTGAGATTTGAAATCTCTCTCACAGGCACTGTAAGTGAAAGTTTTCAGTGTAAGAACAAGTTATCTCCTCGGCTCTTGCTGTGAGACATGGTCATATTCCAAACAAATAATACACAGCACCATGCCCATGTTATAAAGAGAGACCTTTCGTGATAAGAAAGAGTTTTGGTATCACAATGTTTATAATAGTCAGAGTTTAAAGTTACTGGAAATTTTACATGTGTGCCATTATATCAGTCATATCATAGAACAGGAAAAAATGAGGAAAAATTTATTATCTTTATCATTCATAGGGTATACTCAAAAAATCCATTACCTAGAAAGACTCTAGAGAGATTAGAATGTGGCTATAAATCATAACATTTTTGATCACACAAATATGAGATTTTAGTAATATCTAAATATTAGGTTAAAGACTTTTCCTTATAATTCCCAAAACTATAGTTAGCAGGCACTCTCTTACCCACAGAGTGACACATTCCTTTGTGATAGTTGCTCCTTTTTCCCTGCCACCCCTGGAATGTTAGCATCTGCAGCCCCCAAAAGTTCCTTTTTCCCTGAGAATCTTATCTACAGTTGTAACTTCAACTCACACTTAAATGCCAACAAAACCTAACTCTGTATCTGCATTTCCAATCTGCTCATTCCCTTTGAATTTTTAGGGCCATACTTCTATCTGCCTTCTAGGTAATCCCTAAGGAGTCAAGGATCAGCCCACACTCAAACTCAAACTCAACCTTTTATCCCACAAGTTCATTTTTGTGTTGACTAGATTCAAAACATTGCAATCACATCATTAAGTTGGTGCCAGAAATCTCAATTATCCTAAAAATCTGTCTTCCTTAACCAGTCTCAGAAATCATTCACAAACTTCTGAAGTTATCTACTCTGAAATCATTCATATATATCTGACCTCCTTTCAGTTCTCACTAACATAGATCTAGTTCAACCCATCATTCTTTATATGGACTTTGGTGAACCCTTGTAAAACTGGTCTCCTAGTCTCCAGTCACAGTTGTAGCCCCGCTATCCAATATGCTCCACTTCCATTTGATACGTATTTACTGAGTACTTGCTTTCTGTGCATCAGGCTGGAGTGGATGAACAGAGAATGCTAAGCAAATCAAAGGCCACTTCTCCAGATAATTTAGACTAGTTCAGGAGTGTGGAACCCATTTTGAGTCAAACAGACTCCATTTTTTCTCTAACTGCCTGATCTTGAACTTTCTAGGTAAAAAATTAAACAGCCTGTCTAAGCCATTAGGTGACTATGAAAAAATAAGAGATCATCTAGAGATGATGATCTGATGACCATGCTCATAGGCCTCCACACTACAGCCCTGTGTCTGAACACTTCTGCCCACCAATCAGATAGGAACTTAGACTTTAAGAATCAATCCTACAGTATCACTACAAATGACCTAATCTCAGACTAGTTCCCTGCCTAGTCCTTTAAAATCCCCTATGTCCTGATCCTGATGTTACACACCTTAGGACCAACTTTGGTCACAGATCCTGATTATGATGCCAATTCTTGAATAAGTGTCTTTTGATTGTATTATATTCTGAGTATATTATTTTTCTCCAATGACATGAGGTAAGACAGCAATTAAGTAAACAAATATACAGGTAATACACAGGAGGTGCTTGAATAACTGGTGGGGGTGTTGTGTATCTAGATTTCTCCCTGAGGAAGTGTCCTTTAGAATTGGACCTCCAGGAAGGAAAGAAGTCAATCAATCACAAAAAGTGTCAAAGAGAACAGCCTAACAAAGGTTCAAGGCAAGACTGCCCTGAAAGGTAGGGAGGAAGGCCATGCCGGTGGGAGCCAAGTTAACAAAGGGGAGAGTTATGAGATGAAGTGGGAGAGGTGAGTAGAAGTGAAATTATCCATGGCATTATGGGACACAATTATAAATCTAAATCTAGCGTGAAAGATCCCGATGTTAAGGGAGGGTTTTTGGCAAAAGAGTAGTATGTCCCAATTTACAGTTTCAAAAGAAAGAACATCAAATTGTTTCCCAAGCCCAACAGGAAAGTCATTGTTCTAAAACAACGTACAGCTCCTGGTAAATGGGGTGACCTCATGTCCCAGTTTGCTCAAGTGAGTCCTGGCTTTGCCTGTTGTCCTATTATCACTAGTAGTAGTCCTCTTCTACTCTCATGAGGGTCCCAAAAAGACCATAAATTGTACTGTCAACTTACTGATAGGGAGTAGACTTAGATTGACATTCAACATTCTTTTGAACCTGGTCCCAAATCACCTCTCTTTTTCTTCACCTATCACGTCTTCTCTTTATGGTGCTCTGAAATGTCATGCAGACAGTGTCCTGAGTGGCACTTTTATTCTCCATGGCTGCAGTGTTGCTCATGTCCCTGCCTCCTGCTGCACATTCTGTGACCAGCTCACTAACAAGTGAACAAACATTTGAGGGCCAGATCTGAGAAGTCTTTCCAAAAATAAAGTGAACTAAATGACTCCTCTTTGTCAATATTTCTATTATAGCATTTGTTACAGCTGGGCCCCTTTTCACTGCTAGGTTGGTAGACACTTGACAAAAAGGACAACTCCTCCTCTTAGGTGTGTCCTCCCTCTTAGGTGTATCGTCATGACTCACTACCTGTCTGGTACATTGATGGGACATGATATATGAATGCTAAATGAGTTATTTAATATAAAGGCAACAAAATATATGGTAAAATAATAAGGCTGACCAGATCTTAAAATTAATTTACCCAGTAAGCTAAAACATTGCTTTCACATCTAGACTATTCTCTATCTTCATTCCAATATCTACTGTGGCTCCATTTATTAGGAAGGGACAATAACATTTCATGAATGATTAGAAGTTAAAAAAAAAATCTTTATCAGGAAAGAATACAAAAACTAATTTTAGGGAATTAATTAGTTTGGTGTTTTGGTAATAAATTTCTAAATAATTATGAAGCTGAAATAAAACAGATTATTATATCACCAAAAGGCAATCTCATATACTCACCATTCTTAAATGATCCTGAACAAATGCTGCTCAGAAGAAGTTTTTGACGTAATTGCAGAACTTCGGCTTCTAAAGCTTCAACCTTTGAACTCCACTGTGACTCCTGCCCAGACACCACCCTTGCAAGGTGCTCTGTGTGTTCTCTGCTGCTTTTGTCTGCTGGTTTTGAATGGATAATTGCCAAGGCCAGAGCCAACTTTGAAGTTCTCAAATACCATGCTTGATCATCCATCCTGGCTCTTGTCCCTATGATTTAATAAGAAAATAGGTTACAGAGAAATTCCTTTTAATTTTTGCAGTACATTTCCTTTGCTGAAAATTGATTTTGCAAAGTAATACTAATTAATAAGTTTATAATACAATTTGACACTCAGTAGCAGAAAAAAAATTCTCAGGAACTTGAAACAGCATAAAAAAATCAAGAAAATGCATACACATGCATATTAAGTGTATTACTATTCAAAACAGTAGGTCAGACAATCTGACAAATTCTTGGGGGTGGAAAAACACACAAAAAAAATTTTTGTGGCTTCTAACCAGAGACATTCATCAGAATCTCTAAGGGAAATTTTAAAAATATATACCTGGTTTCATTATACTAAAGATTCTGATTCAGCACACTGGGGTAGAACTGAAGTTTTTATACTTTAAATAGCCTACTGAGGAATCAGAACCACTAAATGAAATTATTCATTTTAAATGTAACCCCTGGGCTTCCCCGGTGGCGCAGTGGTTGAGCGCTGGGTTGCGAAGCTGCCCACGGCCTCTGCGGCGCCGGTTCGATCCCCGGCTGCTCCCCGGCCACCAGAGGGGGGTCCCACATGGCGCGCAGACCTCTCCTGCCGCCCGCTGCTCCCCTCAGCAGTGTCCTTCGGTCCTTCTGCCTGCTCTGCTCCCCGCTCTGGCTCTGGTGAATTCTCTCACCCTCCCGCGCTTCTGACTGTGCCCCAGTGCTTGTATAAATAAATAAATAAATCTTTAAAAAAATAAATAAATAAATAAATGTAACCCCTCTTCCCCAACTCATTCTGTAGTCTTACAGTCCCTGTACTTCCCAAACTTGAATTCCTTAATGGAGCTTCACCTACTATTCCTGTCTCTAAGAAGGCCCCTTCAATATATATTAATTTTTTTTAAATATTTGCATGATTTAAGTTTTGACACTGCTGATTTTGCACCACTAAAGATCTCTGGTTGCTACAATGAAATACTTTTCCAAACCAACACTGCATCAGCACATTCTGACATGAATGTACTTATGAGAACAACATGACAGACCATTACATACATTGCTCTAATATCATCACTTCTACTGAAGTATAAGCTTTTGTGACCACCATATGTTGCCAAATTATTAGGGTGATTTGCATATAAAAACTGTACAAGGAAACTACAAGACATTTTTAAATGAAATAGAAGACACAAAGAAATAGATATTCTGTGCTTTATGAAATGGGAAGAATAAGACCAAGAAAATAGAATGAACACTACAAAAATGTGTATAGAACCAAATAAGATGCCATATAGGCAAAGTAAACATGAAGGAAAAAAAAATGAAATTACACTACCAGACTTCGAACAATACTTCAAAAACAATAGTAATCAAAACAGAATGGTATTGGAAAAACAGTTAAGACACAAGCAGATCAATGAAATAGAATTCAGAACCCAGAACATAACCCATACATATATGAACAGTTATTGTATGACAAAGTGGTCAAAAACATAGAAAAAATGTTTCAATAAGTGGTTTTGGGAAAACTGGACAGCCATATATATGCAAGAAAATAAAACTATACCATACTTCACACTCTACTAAAAAATTCAAAATGGATTATGGTTTTAAGTAAGACATAAGGCCATGTAATACATAGAAACATAGGTGATATGCTCCACAACTTTTTTGAGAACTCAATTCCAACAGCAAGAGAAATGAAAGCAAACATGAATAAACATTAAACCAGAAAGTTCTGCACAGTGAAGAAACTATCATTAAAATGAAAAAACACCCTACAAAATATGTTACATTAAAAACATTTAACAAATGTTGGGTTGTCAGAAAAGTTGTGATGCATTTTTTCTTGGAAAAACAGAAAAAAAGTACATCATGACTTTCCTGACAACCCAATAGTTAAAAGTGTAATGATCCAGAATATTCAGAATTTTTGGTTACCAAACCTAAACACTACTAACAATTTCAAATTGTTTACCCCACATTTCAAACTTTATTTCCTTCAATTTCTCAAGTCTAACATTCCATTGCAGTGGGATCACACACATGGAAACTAATACCCACAACCCATGCTCATTTTCATGCACATCTTTGCTCAATAAATTTTCCCCAATAGTGATGTGCTGGCTCAGTCCTGGCAAAAGTCCTGATCTTAACCTTCAAAACACAGCTCATAGACTACAATATAAACTCTTTTCTATCTGATATCCTATAATTTAGCACTGGAAATCTAACTAGCACTGGAAATCTATGCTACAATCTAACAGGTAGCATAACGGCATTTCATCAGTCAAAAATGAACACAAAAATTCAATATGTACACAATATATTCATCACAGGCTTATTTATAATATTGAAAAATGGCACCAAAAGTCAGAGTTAAGTAATAAGAGTAAAACTGGACACAGCAGAATAAAAAATTTTCAGAGTTTTTTTTTTTTTACTAGCATGGGAAAATGTCAGTAATACTGAATAGAAAGAAAAGATGATGGCATGAAATTATATGTACAGTAGGACCTCAATTATGCAGAAACAAAAAATATAAAAATATAAATAGCATTTCTCTCTACTATAGAATTACTGGTGATTTTTCTTATTTATACTTCTCTAAATTGTCTTAATTTTCTGCAATAAACAGATAAAATTGTAATTAAGGAAAATTTATAAAAAAAGATTTCTAAAAGCAAAGTAAATAGCCATTTATTTTTAACCTTTCTTAACTATAGAATACACTGAGGACTGGATATTGTTAAGCTAGACAAACTAATTAGAATTATAGCAGCTATTCCACTTGGCTGCTTCATCCTCCATCTGCTCTCAGTGATGCAGGGAAGCATTTGTGTAGAGAATCATGGATGCCCCCCTAAACAGAAGTAACCCCCCAAAGAAGTAAACCAATTCTCATAATACAACAGCAGTGACCAAAAACAAAAGTAATAACAATCATATCACAATAAGTAGGCTCTTTATAGTGTTTTGGTTAGAAAATGATCTGATATTCAACTGTGATAGGGATCTAATGAGAGAAAAAAAAAAAAAAGAAAGAAAATTACTTTATGAGCATAAAAGGACAAAGTTATTTGGAACATAAAAACACAATAAATCCCCCATCATCTTGCAGATATATTTAACTGATCTATATGTGAGTTGATTAATTCAATGTTTTGATTTTTAAGTCATTGTATGTGATTTGTTAATAGCATCAAAAACATGACCTGTGCTAGATAACATATATCTTAAAAGGCATGGTTCTTATACCTCTCAATCACATACAGTGTTGTAAACCAGTATTACCTCAGTTTTAAAAAATTGTTAAATTTAAAAAAGCAAAGTAAACTGTGGTATGCATAAATTGACAGAAAAATATATGAAATGAGGTGCCTCTCTGGTGGCACACGGGGTTAAGAAGCAACCTATGAAGCTGTCCGCAGCCTCTGCAGCACGAGTTCAATCCCCAGCTGCCCAGGGATCAAATGGCACAGGACATGGCGCAGCAGACCTCTCCTGACTCTCCCGCTGCTCCCCTCAGCAGTGTACTTTGGTCAGTCTGCCTGTTCTGTTCCCCACTCTGTCTCTGGTGAATCCTCTCACCTCCCCACCCCCCATACCTCTGGCCTGTATCCCAGCTCTTGTATTCATAATAAATTTTTAAAAAACATATATATGAAATTATAACGTTCTCGACAATAACTATCGCAGGGTTAATTAGAATTATATTAATTAAAACTGTGATACAAATGAGCAAAACTGATTTCTAATTGGTAGGTTTGGTACAGGCTTTTCCAGTATAAATCACACTAAAACACACAACTACCACCTACAAGCAAACAGAAACAGGCTCTTTTAAACTGCTTCATCATGTTTTAAAGTGTGTGTTTTTATACAAATGTGCCATTTTAATTTTAGCATATCATTACTAGCCTAAAAATGCCCTTTGTGACATAAAGATTATTCTAAAATTCCTCTGAATTTTCAAGGGGAAAAAAATGAGCTTCCTAAATATATTCTCTGCTTTATTGAGAAAAGATCAGTATTAACTTTCCAAAATCCTTTTTCAATTTATGCTCAACTAATTATGGTAAATAATTAAAATTAACATTTAATGTTTCCCAAGAAGGTATTTAGTATCTTTGAATTCTTAATAGTGGAAAATATAAAAGTTAAACAGTCTTTTTTAGAATAGAGCATTAATTCAAGTGGATTTTCTTTTTCTTTGCTTTTGGGACCAGTCCTTTTCATAGCAAATTCCTCCACAGGGCCTTGAAAAAATCTAGTCACATTCCCTATGACCCCTGGATTCTCTTTTAGGCAATAAATGTAAAAACAGCTACTCTTCAAGCAGCACTTTTGGCAATTCTTCTCTGCCCTATTTCTCCTACCATCATTTTCTCCGACTGGATTTTAAGTTGCTACCAACTAACCAATTCTCTGAACTGTCAAAAGTGTTTCTGAATTATAATCCTGAATTCTAAAGTTAGTTCATCTCCAAGATCACTGATGAAAATTTTATGAAAAAGAGAGCCCCAGATCACTCTTATACAAGGTGGTGGAAGCTTAGATAATCATTCAGGAGAATATTTTCTTAATATGCACCAAATATCTTCAATATATCTATCCCTGCTTGTTGACCCAACAATGTAAATTCTAAGATTTTTGCCTTAAGGAAATGGCCAAAACTACATATCTTAAACTTTATGCCACAGATAATCTTATAAGAGTATTATAAGTACCCCCCTATAAAAAAAAAACACACAAAACGAAACCCAAAACCTGTCACCATCTTGAACATCTAACAATAGAGACAAATTAAACTGTGGCATATAACACTTGCAAAAAAAAATATAAAAGTATAGAGAATTAGGGGTCTCCCTGGTGGCGCAAGGGGTTAAGCACCACACTATGAAGCAATCCACAGCCTCTGCAGCCCGGCTGGCCAGGGAGCTACCCACACGGCACAGCAGACCTCTCCTGTCTTGCCCGATGCTCCCCTCAGCAGTGTATTTCAGTCAATCTG